AAGTCCAAGATGGAAACGGAAATTCGGGAACTGTCTGCAACAGATAGTACCATAGGCTTGAGGAGGAATGAAATCACCTATTAAAGTAAGAAGAAAAGAGGGTCTACTGTTGGGTAAAATGCATGCACATTTTATGTAACAAATCAATTTGCTAAGGCTGTTGTAGAGGTTGCTGGTGTATCGGTGAAAACACATGCCTTCTATTGTACTTAACTATGTGCCAGGTACGGTTTTAAGTGCCTGTCAAGTTTCTATTCATTTAATCCCCATAATAATTCTGTTAATTGGATCCTACTGTAATCCCCATTTTACAGATGAGGAGACTAAGGCATGGATTGGCTAAGGAACTTGGGCAAGGTCACACAGGGAGTGAGGGAGACGGTGTTCAAATCAGGAAGTCTGGCTTCAAGAGTTCTGGTGCCCAAGATTTTATACACTTAAAAGGCATTCTAGAGAATGTGAACTTCTGTCTTCTTCCCCTCTCCCCAGTTCCATAGCATTCCCAGATTTTCACTTGCTGCTCTGGATTTGTGGCAGAGTGCACATGTGGTCTGGCTCATCTGAGACCATGTCTCTGAGGATGAAAACTGAGCATGTAGGACTGGGAGCTCAGTTGAGTTAACTTGGAGGGTGTTTGCCGTCAGGAGGCACAGATGCTGTTTAAGTCAGGAAGAAATGAGCGTTCGCTTCAAGTCCTGCTTTAGAAAGCCTCTTTGTTTTATGACTCTGGGTGCAAGCAACCCTTTTAATTTTGTGTTTTGGATTCCAGCCATAGGAGGCCTTCTTTAATGTAGCAGATGGCTGCAGACAGGCAAGCCAGGTTCCTCCATTCTGCATCAAACAGCCCTCCCTCCAGAGGGATCTCCCAATTATGTTGCTCTGAAAAAGAGAAGAGAAGAGAACTTAAAATGGACACATTAAATTTACACCACACGGAAAGTCCCACTGCTTTAAGCATTTGCAAACATTAGGGGGGGTCAGGCAAACCTTTGAGCAGCTGTTGAAAGCTTTGGATTTCAATTTTCTGCAGAAAATGTGTACATAGGTACATACACAAAAATGTACATATTCGCTGGGGGGGGGGCGGTCACAGGGTCTCTCATATCCGTCCCTGAAGCTTCAAGGGGTCCACGGCCTGGAGAGTCCTGAGCCTCCAGGAGAGGCAGCTGTCATTCTTTTATTTTATGTTTCTTTTTTTTTTTTTTTTTAATACATAAAGCTCTTGACATCTGAGTTATGAAAATAAAGGGTCTGTGGAATATTAAGGGCTCATTTCACACCAGAACACTCAGATTTTACTGGGGGGAAAAAAAAACCCTTTCAAATATCGAATAAAGGCACTTTAGCGTATTCTCTGGTTTGCACAGAACCTTGTGGTTCATTCTGTTAAACAGTAACATGAAGTTTCTTTGGAAAATTTTAACATAATGATTTTTCTTTCTGTCAGTTTTTTTTTTTTAAGATTTTATTTATTTATTTGAGAGAGAAAGAGCATGAGCAGGGGAGGAGCAGAGGGAGAGGGAGAAGGAGACTGCGCTGAACGAGGAGCCCGACGCAGAGCTCAACCCCACAGCCCATGAGATCATGACCTGAGCTGAAATCAAAAGTCGGACGCCTAATGGGCTGAGCCACCCAGGAACCCTTTCTCAGATTTTTGTATACCATTTCTTTGGGATCTCACTCTTCTCACACTTTTCTCCATTTAGCTCTGCTGTTTCTAATATTAAGATTGGAGGTGGGGCTAGTCTGTCAACTTAAGAACATACACAGAATGTTTAGAACTTGCGAAGTCAGCTTTATTGTTTCTAGGACACTGTCCAGAGGAGTCACTCAAACTCAGACATTTCTTCTTCTCATTCCACTTGCCATGACTGTCTCAGGAAGTGGGAGTCTTTGAGGTGACTACTAGGTAGGACCCTTTATGGATCTCTGTGGTCATTCACCGATCCTTCCACACTGGGTGACTCGTCCAGATGTCATCACATTCTTCCAGTTCTACTGGGTGTGCACTGGCTGTTAAGGGAGAATCTTCAAAGCTATAGCAAAAAATGGAATTGACATATTTATTAAGGATACTGACACCAAAACCAATTTGCCTCAATTAACCTAAATTTTAAATTAAAAATTAAGAATATGGGAAGACTGAGTTAATTATTCCAGTTCTTTGTGTTCCTTATATGGTCCCATCTTTCCTGAAAATTACCTTCTCTTTGGTTCTGGAAAATTCAAGGTGGGAGTAGGGCTAAACATTAAGGCTGATTTGTTCTACCTAATGAATAACTAAAACAATTATTTTTATTTATTTTTGGAAAAATCCAAAGAAAAGGCTCACTTTCCCCCTAAACATCAACTCAATTAAGGAAAGCCTATTTGGGACTTCAAACAGGGTTTCTCGACCTCAGCACGATTGACATTTTGGGCTAGGTAATTCTTGGTAGAAGGAGGCTGTCCTGTATATTGCAGAGTATTTAGCAGCTTCTCTGGCCTCTACCCAGTAGATGCTATTAGCACCACCCTCCTAGATGTGACAGTCACAGTTATTTTCAAACATTGCCAAATGTTCCCCAGGAGGAGGGCACAGTCACCCCTCATTGAGAGGCACTGGCCTATATTATCCAGAAATAGGTTTCTTTACAAATAAGTAAGATTGAGAATTGAAGCTGCTTTTATTTGATTCTCATGGGGGAATGCTAAACTGAAAAATCAGTTTATCTCTTTTGATGTCCCACGGAGACTATATCTACTTGTTCAGATCGTTCCCATTCTATATTTGTTTTTAGAATCCATTTGATTGTCAAAAACAGGAACTTCCTTACTCCTTTCCTAGGGCTCCGACATGCCAGTTCATTGACTGCTTGATAATCTTTTTGACTATCTAGACATTTAGTGATCTGATTTTCTCTATCCTTTGAGTCTGGGTAATTTCTCCATTCTTTGGGAGGCATCTTTTGTGCTCTTAAAGTTTTTCTTCCTCCTTCTATGTTATCATCTCTTCCAACTTCAGACCTAAGCTGAGCCCACAGAGCAACTTGGAGAGGTTGGAGTCTTTGGTTGCTTTGATCAGTACATGAACACATAGTTCAGGAAACAAAACTGTTGGCTTTGAGATTACCAATGTGAGCATTCATAGGAATCCTGCAATCACAAATTGTTCCTTGCATATTATGCAGTGACTGCAAGACAGCAAATGGTTTGGGGGAGGATTTTACTAGCTGTTTGAAGTATGGAATGGCTCTAGTACACAAAATATTTAAACCAAATTGTTATGTCTTATAATGTTCAACAAAACACTCTGCAAACATTTAGTTCTGGGGAAAAAAAAAAAAAGGCACCCTCCAAGGCAGGGTTATGGGCACTTCTGGGAGTTGTAAACCCATGCAGGCTCCAAAAATATGTGCCTTCCAAGGACTGGAAACTTCTGAATTACCAACAAATAATCAGTGAGTGTGACAAAGAGTTAAAGTACACAGACTTTACTTACACAAAATTTATGATGTAGTAAAGAGGTTTAAGATGTAGACCTGAAACTGCACACCAATGGTCAATAGGCTAAATCGGGACCATGGATTTGTTTTGCTTGGCTTGTATAGGACTGGCCTCCTGAATGCCTGAGAAAGGGAGAAAAAGTGAGAAAGAATGAAAAGAAGTGGGTGAGCATATAAAAGTGAGATTTTTTTGCATTAACATCCAGATTTCCAGCTGTTTTTGAAAAATCAGAAGATCTGCCAACACTGGCCCTTATTTCATTTCCCCATGGTGGCAGTTGGCTGGAGTGGATCAGCAGCTGCCCCTGTGATCAGAATACGCGCTGTCTGGTTCCCCACCCTGGCCCACTGCACTTCCTCACCAGGCCCCTGTCCCAGTGGAAATGGCCACCTCTCATGCAGACACTTATGCAACATCTACTTAGTCTTTTTCACTGTGGGAACAAACTGCTGGAGCCCTGAGCAAAAGAGCAGTTGTCCATTTGTGTGAGAGGATGCTGGCTCAGGCCGTGGTGGTGATAACAGAAAGCAGTGAGGAATCAGATTTGGCATATATTTTGAAGGTACAGTTAATAAGATTTCATGATAGAATTAGGCTATGAGGGAGAAGATTTGGAAATGACTCCAGTTTTGATTTTTACTTAGAGTAATTGACTGAAAAAGGAAATCTACCGTGGAGTACTGGAAAACCTGGGTTGAACTTTTAAAATGAGAACAAAATTATTTAAAAGGTTTTCTTCACTAGTACTCTTCAAACTGGACACCCTACGTGGTGCCACTATCACATTCTGGGAAATGCTGACGCTTTGGGGGAATTTAAGGAAAAGAGCAAGAAGATCCCCAAACACTAAGGAAGAGACTTAGGTTCTTGCCACAGGAGGCGGGGTGGAGGGGTACCAGCCTACAGGTGAACTTTGGGCACCTCAGTGGCCTCACCTGTCCAGAAGGGTGTGTGTTATCTTGAACAATTGGGGTTGATCTCCCAATACATGGACAGTCGTAATTCGGGGAACTCCAAGTGCAGGCCCTGCCAGAAGGGTTGGGGGAGAGCAGAGACTCCAAGATTACCATACAGAAGGGGTTCTAGGATTGCTGCTCAGAGGTTTGTTTTGAAGCGAGTTTTCATAAAGAGAGGATTCTCTCAGAGTTATATAGTTACCCAAAAAAATCAGTAAAAGTAGCAAACTTGTGTCTGAAGATTTTTCTACAGTTTTTATATGATTGAGAAAATTGCAATGGTCCCTTGATCAAGGGCAATAGTTTTATTTTCTTACAACGTGGGTTGCTTTGGTTAGTGGAGACTACTAGTGGCCATCGTGGCGGTGGGAGCTCACCGACTCCCACGCCTGGGCCTGGCCATTGCCACAAGTGCCTCTGGCAAATCGGAAGCCAGGCTTGGCCGCACGGAGCCAAGCGCCAGGGCTTCCTTCCCACCGGCCCCGCAGCGGTCACTCGGCCTCTCGCGCGCATGCGCGGACTCCAGCAGCGTCCTCCCCGGCTCCTTCCCTCCCTCATCCGGGTCCTGGGCGAGCGGGCGCCGTGCGCGTGTCCCACGGCCAAGCTGCTAATAAAGTTGCACTGAGGGGAAGCGCAGCGACGGCGCCGGGGGAGTGCGTCCAGCCGGCGGGTGAGTGAGTGTGGGGCCCCGGGGCTGGCGAGCCGGGCCGGGGGCTGCAGCTTCTTCCGGGACGCGGCTCGCCCTCAGGCCCCAGTGGCTGGAGTCGGGCCGAGTCGGGGGCGTTGGGCCGCGGGCGGAACGGAAGCCGCCCGGGCCTGCGGGGCGGGAGGTAGGCCGAGTCCCGGCCTGCAGAGGTTCGAGCGGCCGAGGATGGGGCGGCCCGTCCGGCTGCGGAGGCCTTACTGCGGCCGGGGGCGTCCCGAGGCTGGCCTTGGTCCTTGCGCTGCCGTTGCCGCCCGGACTGAGGAGGGAGGCGCTCCGGACGCCCTCGGGGCGGGGGTGGGGGTGGGGGTGGGGGAGATTCCCGGCCCCGCTTGGGTCGGGAGGAGCGGTTAGTTGTACCTCATCTAAGCACCACCCTCAGTCACACCCCAGGTAGGATCGCCGTGCTGGGTCGAGCCGTCTGATCTGCTACCCTGCAAAGCTGTCCAGTGGCTTGATGAATCCGTGCCGCCGTCGCTTTGTGTTTCAGAGATAAGGATCCACGCTCATCGGTGGGAATTACACTCTGGGCACTTGTGCCTTGCTACTGCACTCAGCTGGTAGTTAGACCTGGTTTCTGCCACTTGCCGTGCTAGTTTTCACCATTGCAAAGATTTCTTGTCCTTTCTTGTAAACTTCTGCATTGGTGCAAGGAGAATGCCAAGCCGTCCCTGTTTGCCTTCATCATATTCGGTCTCTGCCCGGTCTTTAGTATCAGTACTTTAGTATCAGTACTCAAATTCATATTCCGGTCTCTCCCCTTCCCCCTCCCTTTTCCCTCTCTTCCCCTTTCAGCTGCTGTTATTACGTGGAGTTTGGAGCCTAAGCTTTGAAAACTCCCATGTGGCGCCTGTCTTAAGTTGGAGCATGCTCAGTAGCCAAAAACAGATTTCGGTTGCAAAAAGAACTGGGGCGAGGATAGCCCGGGTATTTGGACGTGTGCCCGATTCCTAACATGTTCCAATTCTGGTTCTGATGGCATTGAAGAATGGAGCTGTAGGCCATCCTGGAGGTGAGGAATGCCTGAACACCCTGGGCCCGATCACTATCTTGATTGCAGAGACATTGTTTCCTGACCAGCTGGAGGTCTAGAAGGGGGGGAAAAACATTCCTGGCTGCTTGTGCGTTTAAATGGGTGTGGTGCTAAGTATATCTTGTTTACCTTATCTTTCTGTGGAAAAAGTTTTGAAGTCTGGCTGGGTTTGTCACATCATGCGTGTTGCCTAGCACTACCAAAAGTGTTCTTATCTAGCAACAAAGGCTGGGTAGGTGGAGGTTGTGGCTTGGCTTCACAGAAGTTGAGAGGAAAGGGTGCTTGAGTTGCTGTTTTAAAAATTCAATTTAAGTTCTTAAAAACCAGAGTACTTGCATTTCCTTAGAGTACCCGAATTGCCCAGAGTGAGTTTTGAATTTTAATTTGAAACCTAGAAGGCTCAAAAACCTTAGTCCCAGTAAATTTAGTGACATTGCAAGTAGGGTAAAGTTTCTGCTAGATGTCACTCTGGTAGTGGCTGTTGTAAGGAAAACAATACCTAGACACAATGTGACAGTTTCACACGTATTGATCAGAATACTCTTAGGAAATTAGTGTGTTCCAAATTTAGTAAGTAAGGGATTATTTACAAATTTGTACAAATTCTTTTTTTTTTTTTTTTTTACTCCTTCTTTGGTAGCTATTTTTTCCCTGTGCGGTGAACCCTGAGATTGCAAGAATACGAAACAACTCATAAGAGACAATTTAACAAAATTTAACCTTCACAAAGGTGGTACATAATACCTTTTAGATTTTTAAAATTTAATTTTAGTTTTGATTGTTTGCGTGGTTACATCCTCCTTTTTTTCCCTCTATATTGTGGATCCCTCAGTCACCGTGCCTTTTTCACATAGCTGTTTTTATTGCATAAATGTTACTATGTATCTTTGTTAGAAAAATTCACTCATCATTTATCCTTCCATTTCTTTCGGATCTGAAATAGCTAAAATAGACAGTAAAAGTTAGGTGAACCTCCTCAGTTTGCTTTCCTCTTAGATTTTAAATGCATCCATATGATACAGTCTGGTAAAAAGGAGGAAAGCCAGCAGTGAACTGGGGAAAAGAGAAGAGTAAAATATTTTTGTAGATTCTGTGCAGATTTGGTGGTATTATCTACTTGTCTGGTTCACCTAGGTAGGCGCCACAGAAATGGGTAGATTGATATGTGTTGCATTTCTTTCCCCCCCTGGCAAAGTCAGCTATTAATTTCAGTGGGACACAGTGGCAGAATGTTGTTACTACTAATGAGGTTTGAATCAGATTGTTGTTTACTGTTGGTTATGTAACACGTTGCTGGAAGTATTATTAAAAGTTCCCTTCTGCAGCAAGGTAGAGGCAAGTAAATTCTGCTTACTCTTCACTGCGTTTTAATTCTTGGCTGAACCTGAAGGCACATTACACTATAACCATAATTATACCTGGGCAGCCTGTTTCCTGTTTTCATCATGAACCCAAACATTATGATTTGCAGTGATGATCTTTTTTGTCCTTTGCCTTAAACAGAGGCAATATGTTTTCTCTGTCTACTGAAAACAGATTTGTGACTTGGTCAAATCAAAGATACTGGCTTCCTAGTGTTTTGAAGACTAGGCAGTAAAATACCAGTTTTTCATCTTAGTAATTTAAGTTGAAATACAGATACTATCTAAAAAAAATCTGTTTCACACATACTGTTTGATAGTATTTTATGTAAATTTTAATGTTACCAGTAGTTTCTAGAGTTTTTGAATTAAGAAAGCCCTTTTTGTTTATGACTTATCAGTGTTTATTATTACCAGATGTATATGTTGGTTTAGGCACTGAGCCACACATTTGGGTGAATTTCAGAGCCTGCTTTGAGTATACTTTAAGATATAGCCACCTTTATTCCTTTGGTTTATCATTCTACACTGTTTTCTTCAGCAGCGTCCGTGTTCCCTGTCTCGTGTGTGTGTTTCATACTAACCACAAAGAAGAAGCCAAAATAGTTTATTTCTTCAGATGTTGCCACTGCCTTATCTCCTGTGTGTGTGTGTGTGTGTGTGTGTGTGTGTGTTTCATACTAACCACAAAGAAGAAGCCAAAATAGTTTATTTCTTCAGATGTTGCCACTGCCTTATATCCAGTGGATATATCCAGCCGGTTCTACTCATAAGGTCAAAGACGGTGAAGAAAATTTCCTTTTATAAAGGACAGTCGCAGCCTGATAGATGATTTTTATCTCTACCAGTCCGAATATTCTGGAGAAGAGAGTTATCTGGAAGGATAGGACCCAAGAAGGCTGCACAGAGGTAGGGTGCTTTCCCACCAAAAGAGATGATGCACGACGCCAGGAAGCCTGTCCATGTCTTCTCATGCCTTGTTTTTATACTTCCAAAGCTAATAGAATAATAGAACTGGAATTTTTAGTGCTAGATTATCCCATTTATTGCCATTGTCTAGAACTATGAATCTGAGAGGTATGTTTACTAGTTGGAAGTTTAAGGTGTACAATTCTTTTTGAAGAATTGTTAAGATTTAGATTGTTGTTAGGACATCTCCCATTTTCATATGTCACCTTCATATTCTAAAATTTTATTGTTTTACAAGTTTGAGAAGATGGTATAATTACATAGTAGGTTTTTCAGAAATAGTCATCTAGTTCCTAACTTTTTAATTTTGGTGGTTTTTTTGTTTTGTTTTTGTTTTTTTCTTTTGTTTTGCTTTGGGCAGCTAGGTGAGAAAATTTTGGCCCTATCATAGTAGAGAGGCGGTTTCAGTGACTTTTCTTCCTGCTTTTATTGTAGTATTCCCTAACTTAGTTGTGATAGTATTTTAGAAGAAAGAATTCTTTTTTTTTTTTTTTAAATGTTTTATTTACTTATTCATGAGAGTCAGAGAGAGAGAGAGGCAGAGGCAGAGGGAGAAGCAAGCTCCCCGCCTAGCAGGGAGCCCGATGCGGGACTCGATCCCAGGACCCTGGGATCGTGACCTGAGCCGAAGGCAGACGCTCAACCATCTGAGCCACCAAGGCGCCCCAGAAAGAATTCTTTATTAGACAGTTCTATATGGGCAGTACTATAATTGTAATTGACTTTTGGAAGCTAATGTTAAAGTACATTTTGTAAACAGATTTTGCTCCTGAATTCTGTGGTATACCAGTCTCTGTCTATAAGGTATATACAGTTTACAGACTAGTATACTCTGAAAATTTGACAATGGTTTGATGTGTTGTGAGAGTCTAACTAGATTTTTCCTTTTGATGTCTGTGTATCTTTTGTTATTGCTGAAAATAACAGTAAGAAAAAAACTGGTGTCACCATCCCACCTTTCTCTGAGCATAGCACCTGGGGTTCTGAGAAGTGTCTTACGCTTTTCAAATTTAACTATGATCTCAGAATATGACTGGTGCTTTCAAGGCAAGTTTTGTTTTGTTCAGTTCTGTTTTCATGATGTGTTAGGATATGTCTTGCATCCTATCTGGTAGGCTGTATAACTTGAGATCTAGTTATTCTGGTTTGTATGTTCCCAGGAAAGGGGGTACTACAGAAATATTTCAAAGCTAGTCTTATCTTTCCCTTTATTTACATCTCTGTGCTACTTAAGTGAGTGCCTGCTTAACTCACTGACTATTTCCCCTTTTTTGAGGTGGAAGTGTATAAATGAGTGACAACAGGAGCCAAAAAGGTACCCAGAGCCATATTTGCTCCCTTTTCTTCTATGTGGCTTGAATTCTGGGGTGCACATGAGGTATCTTGAGAACATCTTCCTAAAGCATCGTGTACACGGGTTAGTGCTTTGTGCTCCTGAGACCATTTTATAGTGTAATGATTTGGTATCTGCCCTTGACGATTTTATAATTTAAAGGAAAGCACTATAATGATTGACCAGCTCTGTGTCTATTCCTGTGCCTACAAGCCTGTACAAGTATACTCCAACACATCTGGTAGTAATATAGGAAATCTTGCAGGCTGTGTGGG